CGATGTACAAGTTTACTTATAACACCAAAGTCAATTTAATTAATAAAAAAAATTTTTTTCTTATGACGCTAATGTATATATTATTATTCCGATTTTGGTAAAGTCGGTCATTTTTGCTAGGTGAGTGTACAGAAAAATTAAAGAATTAACTCGAATGATTACATATTTGATTAAAAAATGATAATAATAAAAGAAAAATTAAATGTTCCTCAAACGAATAAATTATTTTTTACGTAATCTGTTCAGACCATTTTCCTCGTCAAATTTATTTAATGACTTTTTTCGATCATCAACTTCATTTTTCAACTTTCTCCATGCATCCTAAATCTTACTTATCCAACTCTAAAATTTTCTTTCTTCGTCATCTCACGTCTTATTTATTTACTCAACTCTCTCAACTTTCTCCTTCAAATTGTTCAACTTCCTCTTTGCTGCTTCGTAAACTCTTTCTGCCTTTTTTAATCGTTAATCGATTCTTTCATAAAACAAAAACAATTAATTTATTAAAATGAAGATTTCTTTTTTTATAACTTTGAAATTTATTTTATGACAAAATTATTTTTATTTATTATGAGTAAGTAATAGAATACGTAGTCCATGAAATCACGAGCATAAAAAAACTTAAATAACATCAAATTAAAGTGCTCAAAAAAAAACTTATTATAAAGATACCAGTATTAACCCAAAATACAATTTCACTTATTCCATTAACAATTCCCCAACTATATAATTGATTCATCCATAAAGGACTTAAAATACTTCCTACACTTTCTATTACACTTATAGCACCTAAAACTTGCCCAGATTGATTCGGTAAAACAAAAGTTGTAAATAAACTTCTCATAGCGGGGGAAGTTATGGTGGCTAAACTATTAATTACACAAGCAAAGTAAAACCAATCAGGGCTGATGGCTAATGCAAATAAGATGAATCCTATAATTTCCATTATTAGACCACCTCGCATCGTCCATATATCTAATGAACGTGAATTGTTTGGATTATAACGCAATCGAATTAGATGTAATAATGGTACAAGAAGAATCAATGCTATAAGACGCGTGAATGATTGTAATGATAAAAAATATCCATTTTCTAGTGATGTCCAATGAAATTTATATTTTGTATATAAATTTACGATTTCATTTTGCGCTAAAATAATAAAAAAATGTTAGCAAAAATATATATATATAATTTTCTTCAAGATGAAATAATCTATTCATTAACTTACCAGCTTGCGAGATCTTATAAAAAAAATAAATTACAGCTAAAATATATAAGGCGTTTCTTCCTTTCCAATTATTTTCCTCTATTCCAACGGGGATTTGTCTTAAAACAGTTAAAGGTGATACTATATGTCTCATAGAAGTGTGTGGAGATATTAAAAGATTTTGATCACGCATACTGGGAGAGACTGATTCTGGTAAAATTAATGTAACTACAATTAAAAATATAATGAGAGCACAAATTGCTATATAAAATATCGAAAGAATTGATCCTGTAGCCTTTATAAATAATAAAATTAATAAATTAACGCGAATTAAAAAATAAAACGGACCTTAAGTACAGGACCTCACCTTGATAATCAAGCCACCCAAAGTAGGCCCAATGGACATGCCACAATATGCAGTAGCATGCATTAAACTAAACGCAACACTTCTATTTTCACTGCTTGTACAATCACTCAAATAGGCATGACACGCCGTATTTATTGTAATTATACCTCCAAGCAATCCTTCTATAACTGAACCAACGAATAAAAATTTGATTCCCACTATCTTCCAAAAATGTGCTACTATCAATAAATTTGCTAAAGCAAATATTAAACCAACTGTTGATAATTTAAATACAAATTTACGTCCCAAATAATCTGATAATGTGGAAAAATATCCGGTTGATAGAGTTACTGGAATCCAAAGAAAAAAAAGTTGATTCAGTTTAATAATTGTGAATCAAAAAATAAAAAAAATGGAAAATGTGTTAAACTAACCTGCAACATTTAATAAAGTTGTATACCACATTATATAATTTGATGCATTTACGTGAATTTCTGGTAAATTACATTCATCATCAAATAGTAAATTTTGTTTTTGTTTTTGTTCTTTAAATTCTTGACAAACTAATTCAAAGATGAGCTGTACTAAAGGAGCCATGGTTGAAGACATGATTATAGATAAAGTTAAGCTAAATGGAAGCATCCATAATAAACGTTGTGAACGAAATTTTTCTAACCATGTTTCTTGACCTTTATCGAAATTTTCATCAAGTAAACGACTCGTCTCTGAAAGTGTTTCTATCGTATCATTATCTAATGACATTTTGTAGTGATTACAAATTACAATAATATTAAAAAGCAAAATTTTATTGATTTGCACTTCAAGTTGAAAGTTACACGATATAAAAAAGATCGACATTTGATTAGACTTTATCAAAAAAATGCGCACATGTGACGTATTATATATGAATAATAGATTTTTTAACTACTCTACGTCCTTTATATAATTTATTAATAAAATTTGACTCTATTTTTTTCTTCTGCAAGCGTCATACAACTAGAATTTACAAAAAAATAATAATTCTTATGTTGCTTTTTGTCTTTAGGTACAAGCACAAAGTCCGGATCTCAATATTTTCTTGTACTTCGCTCTTTCGTTGAGTCACGTGAAATGCAAAAAATTATACTATGCGCAGCAAAACGTTATGCTTGTCGTAGTTGTGATTATAATTCCAGTTGTATTCGTCAGCATCTTCGATAGAATCGATAATCTTTGCGATATCAAGGTATTTTCACATATTGTTTTTGATTCTTACCAACTCTTTGAAATCTTTGACTAAAAGTTTTTACAAGTTTTAAGCAGTTTAGAAACACCATTGACTTTATAACTTTAAAAATTCGGAAGTATCGGACTCCATTTCAAGATAAAAAGATCGAAAAAAAAAATTATTGAAAGGATGATTGAAATATTTTTAAAAAATATTGTTTTGTTGATATTATGTAAAAGCGTATTAGATGTTAAACGCGAAAAAAAAAAAAAGGAAGTGCCACCCATAAATCAAATCACATGCATATAAATCACGTGTTCGAGGATTTTTGATGGTGAGATTCCAGTTATATATGAAAGTTAGTTAGTTATCACTGTAAATGCTTTTTTGATCCATCTGCATGAGCTGGTACATCTGCCAAATTACTCACATCACTGCCCGTGGCATACTTTCTCGAACTTTTCCGCAAATACCAGTTCATATATAAAGGAATGATTGATCATACTTACCGATTCTAACATCATGCATTTTATATTATTACAAAAAAAAGAAGGTAAGTTTCACCAATTAATACTATTATCCGCTCTGCTTAAATCAAATGAAAAAGCAAATGAAAATTCTAATAAAATCATCGATCTAAATTGCAAAAATTACTATAAAAAACAAAGGTATGTTAAAGAACTTCATCACGTTGCTAATCGTCTTTCCTTTTCCAAATTAAGCACCTTAGACATGTTTCTATTCTTGATATTCGCTGAGAATATCTATTCTTCAGCACGTATTTTATAAACAAAATTATCATCACGCATCTCATAAAAATTTTTGCGCAGTAAAATTGCGAATAAAATTTATCAATCGCCTCCAAGGAATAATATACAGCGAGGTGGAATACTAAATAAAATATGAGGTAGTTTCGCGTTAAGGTGCTTGATTTTTTTATATAGCTTAACTAATGTTTGCTTTGGAATTCCGCTGGAGAAATTCTCTTGCGATATCTTCTCGTTTAGTTTCAGTATTTCATCTAGCGGATCAGGATTATATTTAGTTATATGAGAAAAGTTATATAGGAAAATAGCATTAATATTAACATTAGTAATAGTTTTAGCGAATCTATCGGGTCTAAAGAATAAGCCTTAGATTATGTTTCTTCAGAAACTTTCTCCCATGCAAGCTCGCGAATATTTGTTTATTTATTTATTTATTCTAGTAATAACGGAAGAGTTTATATCATGACTGAACTCTAGTTATTTTAATAGTATATGATTATATGATTTTAAATAGATGTATTTTTGAATAAAGTTATAGTCGAAAAAAATAATATTGAATCGCAAAAGCATTTAAAGTTTTGAATTTATTTTCAATGAGACCCAAATCTTGAAGATATGTCTTTGTAATACTAAACATATCTTAAGCATCCAATTCTCTTTGCATAATTCTTTCTGAGTTGATCATGCACCAACTGCTTCTCATTTTGTGGAAATATTTAATATGTTTATCTTAATATTATTAAAATTGACAGCTTTTATGAATTTTTAGAAAGACATCTCCTCTATTATGAACAATTTCCTTGGCTATTATAAGATCAAAGCGAATATTGCCAGAACATTATGAATGCCACTGATTCTTCATGTCCTTTAATGAATTGGGGCATTTTTAAGCGAACTGGTGAAAATTAGTTTATCATGATAAACATAATATATTTATACTCGAGATGTGGTTATTTCGAATAAAAATAGACTTTTCCAAATTTCCCAAAAAAGTTTTTAGTATGAAGACGATCACGTGAGAAAATTGATGAATTAAAATCAATGATCTTTTAACAAATGTTTAAAAATTAAAAAATTTTCAATGTTTAAAAAAACCCAAAATAAGCACGAAATCTAAACCTGTCCCTGTCCCTTCTTTTAAAGATCTTGTACAGTAAGCAGCAGACATTGATAATGAATTGCATAAACTTTCTGATAGTTTGAGTGAATTTTCTATCATCACTATTCAGTTACTAAAGCTAGGACCCAACAAACTTCAAGAGCGTTTCACCTTATGAAACCAAAAAATATCTATAATTAATAGAAAATATCAGCAGGAAACTTGGAATGCTATAAATGAAACTCTCAATGAACAAACGCGTTCAAGGAATCTATATACACTCCCTCCAAAAAATATCTGACCACTTGCCGATCATTTACTGATTATTTGAAATTATAGCTGATTTCGACGTTTATTACTTAACAATTTATTAATAAAATTTTTACAAAATTTATATATGTA